AAATGGCAAGATGATGCTTGCTCATGCTGCCAGTGCACAAGGAATTTCAGGTAAGTGTTAACTGATGTTATTATTTCACTAATTTTAGTTTTTGTTCAATCTCATTTGATGAAAATTTTGTCTAACAGTGGTTGAACAAGTCACTGGAAAAGATCACGTGCTCAATCATTTAAGTATCCCAGCTGCTTGTTTCACTCATCCTGAAATCAGCATGGTTGGATTGACAGAGGTATATCATGATTCTATTTTGTTTGATGTGTCATTCACTGCTATATTTTATCATGAATGAGTTGTCTTTCATGTGCGGTTGACTTTTTGTCCATTCTTCTGCTCTGTCATCATTCTCTTTTCCCTAATTTACTGCCTGTCGTCCTTCACTTGAATTCTCATGTGTGGTGATCAAATAAAAAATCTGCAGCCTCAAGCAAGGGAGAAAGGTGAAAAAGAGGGGTTTGAAGTAAGTGTTGCCAAAACAAGTTTTAAAGCCAACACAAAGGCCCTAGCAGAAAATGAAGGAGAGGGGCTTGCCAAGGTTATAATTTTGTGTCTTCCTCCTTTATTGCTATTCCTTTACAGAAGCTATAAAAATGTTAAATTTTTCTGATGAGCTCTCTACTAAAGACTTGCTTTGGCAGTGCCAAAATTATTTGGTCTTGAGACTCGTTCTACACTCGTTCATTTTCTCTGGATGCATTTATTTCTCTGTTCTCAGCAGCTCAACGATGCTAATTATTATTTATGTTTTCATGCAGTTGATATACAGACCTGACAATGGAGAGATACTGGGGGTTCATATTTTTGGTTTGCATGCAGCAGATCTTATCCATGAAGCATCCAACGCAATAGCATTAGGGACGCGTATTCAGGTAAATTTTTATCAATGCTGTCATTTAAGTGCGTGCCTGGCATTTAGTTATAATAATGGTCTGAGTTTTCCAGTCTTGCTTATCCTGCCTGTTTGGTAAATTTCACCGTTTTGTGGTACAATACAGGACATCAAATTTGCAGTTCATGCACATCCAACTTTGTCCGAGGTTCTTGATGAACTATTCAAATCAGCAAAGGTGAGCTAATCCTTAATTTACTATTTTCAACTGTATTCTAGCCTTACTAAGACAATCACAAGGTACTAAGGTAAGCGTCGACTGATTCGATGGTAGCCAATTTTCTTTTGTTTTAAAGCTGATCTGGCAAAAGAAAAACGGGGGGAGGGGGGTTATTATTAATATGGAGAGAAGAGTTGGAACATAGAACATCTTCAGCTATTCTATTGTGGCAGGTGCATTAATACGTGTCCTCTTATTTTACTGAGGCAGGTTAAAGCGCGAGCTTCTAGCCCAGTAAGTGAACCCGTTGCAGTCTAATCTTCCCAAACAAAGTATAAAATTTTGAAGAAATTTACTTGTACTAGGGACTTCCAAAATATTATGCATCTTCAGGAGGAAGACACGAACATATTCAGAATCCTGTAAAAGAGGGGAACCGTTTGAGGGAGATCAATAAAGGCCTAATAATGGATAACCGCCGAAGATTACATGTACTGGTTTCTTTTCTACTTGGTATTCTTAGTGCCTGTCAAAGATGCTTAAGTTCATTACTATTGCATTTTTTAAACTAGTTTGCTTCATCTAATTATAGTCAATGAGAAGGTCTTTGAGAACGATCTATTTTTTAGGGCGCTTCTAGTTTTGCGCCGGATATGTATGTACCATTAACAGTTTTTCTTCAAAGATGTTGATGAAATTATGCTGGTTGACACACGTTCACCACGTAAAGCTTGGAATTAGTATTGAATTCTTTTCCCTTGGTCATGGTTGTCATTGGTATCGGTCTATCATTCTTTGTCGGTATGGCATTTGATGCAAATATGAAACATTCACATGCATCTGATTTGATCAACTAATTGTGAAGTATAGTAAACAACAACTGGGCTATTGGTTCACTTCAACCAGTGAGTCTCTAGAAGAACATGTTGAATCGTTTCATTCAACAACCAGTAAGTGCTTGTGATAGAATAGTTTTTATGCTTAGGATATGCTAGAATTAGCTCTCTCCAACTCTGTCGATGATTATTTTTCCACCTTTTATAAAATCTCAACCATATATTCTTTCGTTCACACTCGAATCAAAATCTAAGTTTATCTATAGAGTCTATTTAGTTATTCTTTAACTTATTCATTTGCACCAACGTTAATATTTAATTTCTAAACTAAGTCCCGCTAAATGAAATCGTCAATGAGATAATGTAATAAGCAGATTAAGCGATAATTTATTTACGATTAAACACTTTTTAAGTTTAAATGTTTAACGGATTTATTTAAAATACAATCTAAAGCAGATTAAACGATAATTTATTTACAAAAATAAAAACGATTATTCAAATAAAAAACAAAATGATTGGTTAAGAATAATAGCCGTGTACATTCAAAAACACCGTATTCTTGCATCTGCTTATGAGATAATGTAATACTTGAGCCCAAAATATTCTTACTTAGATACTAATGTCATATCAATTAGGCGTGGAAAAAAAAGACTCTGAACTAAGCTAGTGTGAATTCAATCAATTGGAAGGACAAAAATGAACTATAAAATGGTCCAATTTAACCGGGCCAGTCAGCCCAACTGGACTACGTCAAGTCACTAATTTTCAAGTTCAGCAACTTAACGGAGCCTATTAAGGCCTGATATTTTTTTTGCAAATTTTAAATAAAACATAAAAGGCGAAAACAGTTCATAGCACCAAATTATACGGTTCAGATTGCAATTAAGTTCAAACTATTAGAGTACTATTTAGTTCAGGTTAATATCCAAATCGTTAGTTTAAGATGCTAGAGCCACATGCAGCATTACATACAACTTTAATCAGCTTAAATTATGTTTTAAGTCTTATAATTTTATTTATTTTATTTTTTAGTTCTTATAATTTAAAATAATTTTTTTAGTTCATATATTTATATTTTAAATATTTTTTAGTTGCTATAATTTAAGATAATTTTTTTAATTCTTATACTTACATTTTTTTAATCTTTTAGTCTTTGTCGTTTAACTTTTTTTTGTAATGTTTTCTTTATGCTGAAATAATAAAAATATTAATTAAATTTTATGTATTTTATATTAAATTTATTTTATTAAAATTATTCTAAATTAAATTTTTCAACGATAATTTTTTACATTCTGACTTGCAACAACACTTATTATTAAAATATTTTTTTATCATTATAAAATTGAAAATTTCTACCACATCAACAACTATTACAAAAAAAAATAACAATAAAAATTAAAATAATTAAAAAAATTAAATATAAACCGTAAAAATCTATTATAAAACATATAAACTAAAAATGATTAAAAAATAAATATAGTAATTAAAAATATCTATTTAAAATCATAGAAACTAAAAGATAAAATAAGTAAAATTATAAAAAAAAATATTTTAGCCCTTTAATTATATTACTATAATAACTAAAGGGCTAAAAAAATATTTTAAATCTTACTATATTTAGTAATTGATTACCTGACGTAAATCATTTAAAATGTATGGTTTCCGATGACTTGCGTTTTACCATCAATCGTTTAACATGCATAGTAATTGTTTAACACAGGTATACTTTTGTGTAGAATTTCATCAGGGCAGATCGAGCGAAATCAAGAGGGTTAACACTTGTGAGATAAGTGACTCATTGGAGAATTCTTAGCAGTTTTATTTTTTCTCATTAATAGAGATTTTTTTTAAGTATCAATTATTTTTCATATGATTATATTTCTGTCCAAAATTTATGGAAAATTATATTTGATATAAAAATAGAACTATACAAAAAAATAACTAGTACTATCAAGAATCTTTTAGCAGGAAAAGATTAAAACTACTAAGAATTCTTTTTTAAATCCTCTCACAAAAGTGCTCTCTAAAGATTAAATCCACTTATTTTCTCATAATCTACTTGAATAAACTCTACATGCCAATGTACCTAGCTATTCATATTTATATCACAATGCATACTAAACAATTAATGGTCAAATGCCAAAACTATCATAAGCCATACATTTTAAATGTTTTTAGTCAACTACTAAATATAATATTATAATTAAGGCCACACATAAGATGGACCAAGATAACCAAAAATTAGTATATATAAATATATAAATAAAAGAAAACTTTCACCTTATAGGCCAATAATGTGGAGTTGAATTAGCCAAATTCTAACATGATATCAAAGCTTATGCTATTTTTTAAGCCTACCATGTTGCACACTATTAGGTAACTATCAACCCCATCCATAGATATTTAATCATGTAAGCTTTACTTCACGCTCAAAATGTCAATTCTTCAACATAAAAGGGGAAGTGTTAGTGATCCCACACCAATCAATGAGATGATAAAAAAATATAAAAATATGCCTCGAACAGACTCACCTTAAAAGCCGAAAATATAAAAACAAGTTAGACACATGTTCTAAGATAAGAAGTGAAGAACAAAAGTGATCCAACCGCCCTATAAAGATAGGGGAGCGCTAAAAGAGAACTAATATATGTGATTGACAACAACCTTCTGTTTGAAAAGCATAAGATATATGCCTCGAACACCCTATGTAAAAAAAACTCAGCATCCAATCATTCTTAGATTAAGCACCTAAACAAGAAATAACTGTAGGGTATGTATGTCTAGACATTACGGAAAATTACTGTAGGCTATGTATGAACGCTTGATGGAAACTGTGAATGAGGAACAAAATAAAAGGTTCAAGACTAATTCACGTGTCTAATTAACAGAATTCAAGAAAAATAACTGTAATTTTGGGGAAAAAAAATCTATCCCAAAACATTTGTTAATAACAGGAAAATTGCAACCTAGACGTTAACCAGTGGCGATTTGTTAATAACAGGAAAATTGCAACCTAGATGTTAACCAGTAGCGAAGCAGAATGAAATCCTAGCACAAATGCAGTTACAAATATAACAAATGAAATTGACAAAAAAAATCAAACTCCTTGTAAAACACATTAAAAGCAAAACCCAAGCTTCTGCACTTCATCTGCCCATATAAAATTACATTCACAAGCATACTAAAAGCTTAAACATTACTATAGCAATTAACGAAAGCATAAACAACTGAATAATCCATTGATAAAATTTCAGGGGTCCTTAACAAAAAACAACAACGATGCTATAAGAGTAAGTACTGCATTCTCTCTGGATTAAATGAACTCATAAAATGACTATACTACTAAAACATAAATTCAACACAAAACATATGGGGCTTGAATAACAAATCCTAAAATCCCCATTTGAGTGTGACACTTTACTCTTCTTCCGTGGCTGTTTCACCGCTCTTCTTGTTATGCTTCATCGCGTA